TATCAACTATCTGGTATCCATAACACAGGCCTCGTAGCTTACCATGGAACTAGATAGTGCTGTGTGTTAATGTCCCAATATATTTATTTTATTTATTTATAGACTAAATAGCGACTACATCGGTCGAAATTATTTCTGCGAATAATCGACAATGAATATTACTGCTAAAATATGTTTTATAATTCTCTCAGACATGCAGGTTTCCTCACGATGTTTTCCTTCACCGTAGGACAAGTGATAATCATGTTGGAAACCATTCGCAAATGAGAATATTAGAGGTTCGTGACCCGGGATTTAAACCCGCTTCACTCGGTTTCCCAAACGAACGCGTTACCACTGGACAACCACACCCTTGATATTCTAGAATCTACGTGTAATGCGACTAAACAATAACTATGATTGATTAAGTTTTATTTAAAAGTTTGATGTTTTAAAGGGTCTACCGGTGGCGTAGTTATGCTAATACAACCAATCGCATGTCGCATGGGGCCCCTGATCCAAGGGGGCCCCAGCGGGCCCCCAAACTATTCTTTTATTCCCAAACATTTTTTCGAGGACGGCCCTCCTAGAATTACAAAAAAACCGTAAGTGTACTTTTCCGCACTTTATTTTATAATTGTCAAAGGGCACTTCCATTTTTTTTTACATTGGGGTCCAAAAATGCTAGTTATGTCATTGGCGTCTACACTCCTTGATTACTTGGGGTGCCCCCACATTTAATTCCGACCCTGAAAATATCTAAAACACTTAATCGATAAAAAAAGTAGCCTAAATTACTATCTAATACATAAATCGGATTACTATTATAAATACGAAAATTTGTATGTGTGTTTGTGTCAATGTTTGTCACTACTTCACGCACTACCTCCTTTTTAATGTCGGTTAAACATATTATGTAGAGAATGTTGCGAGAACTTGTGTGAGGTTGATAAGATAATTAATATAACAACAGGTCACTTTCCCATCTTGGGTTTATCTATTTATATATTACTAGCAGAATCCGCGGCTTCGCTCGCGGTAAAACTACAAAAAAACACTAAAAAGGTAGTTTCATACAAACTTTCATCCCCTATTTTACCCCCTTGTATAATGAATGTCGAAAAATGATAAAACACGTATTTATTTAATTTTATTGAAGAGCATTAATACCAAGTTTCAAGTAATTCTGATCATACATATTTTTTTGCATTGTATTATAATTTATTGTATCCGAATTAGATAATATTTCGCGGTAAAAAGTAGCATATGTCTCTCTCCAACCCTCCTCACATCTTTACCCAAAAAATCACTCCAATCTGTCACCACTCCATTTCGAGTTTTTGACTTGAAAGATGCACAAACGCACAAACAAACCAACAAACACACTTTCACATTTATAATATTAGTATGGATTATATTATAAATTAGCGACTTCCCATCGTACGTTCTTTTTTTGAGCGAGGCTCTAATTCTTTTTCTAAAATAAAACTAGTCTAAATTACTCCTTATAACATTCTGTCAGTAAAATACTTATAATATTCTGTCAGTATATCATATTCTGTCAGTAAAATATCTGTCAGTAAAAGTCTCATTAAAATCGGTTCCACCGTTTCGGAGATTAGCCGCACAAACCAAACAGACAAACAAAAATTTTAAAAATTGTGTTTCTGTAAGTGTGTGTGTAAGTAGGTACCGTATATAATTTCATATGCATTTAGTAAAAACCTCGTTTGTATCCTACCATAACTACTTAACAGTAGCCTATGTGTTACTCCAGCTCATACTTTATCTGTGTACAAAATTTCATCCAAATCAGTCCAGCCATTTTAGTTAACACCTCCAAGCAATTTTCTAAGAAATTAATGAAATTTCTAAGAAATCTATTGTTAACTGTAACGCCGACGTGTCAGCGGTCGTTGAGGGATTAAGAAGTAACAAACATACATACGTACAAAATTTCGCATTTACAATGATTAAAGCGATAGATTGACCGTTTGTATACACCATTTGTTATATTAGCTAAAAGCTATCGAACGTATTTTCCAATATATACAATAGATAGAGTAATGGACATGAGATGTACATCAATTGTAAATCTTGATAGATTAATTAAATCTTGAATATCCATATAGCGATTGGCATGATTTTCTGAAGATCCAAAGGAAAAAGGAGGTCGTGTGTTCGAGTCCCAGGTCGGGACAATTAATTAATCTTATATTATTAAGGGTTTTATTACCACTAGGGAGACTTGGGAAGCTAGAAGTGTTGCACTCTGTGTCAAGGCAGAGCACGGAGAAGCTGTGGATTCTGCATCTTATCTCTCACCAGTCTTAATGAATTTTTAGTATAGACTAGCATTGCTCGCGGCTCCGTCTGCATTCAGATGACCAAAAACCAAATTCTTAGGTTTTTCATATTAGTATACACTTACATTGCAGTTTTTGTATTTTTTCTCAGGAATAAGACATTTTCCCGCTGTAAAAAGTATCCTATATGTTGACCCGGATAACCAGCTATCATCATACCAAATTTCATCAAAATCCCTCTAGTGGTTTTTCTGTGATGCAGTACCAGACAGACAGACAGACCAAAATTCAAAAAACTATAGATTCGGCCTCTATATCGATAAGAATGTTTATTTCAATAAGATTTTCCAAAAAATATCTAACGTACAGATTCGGCTTACTTACAATTTTATTATATGTATAGATTTCTCAGCGATACTTTCTCGCAGTAAAAAGTATCCTATATGTTGACCCGGATAACCAGCTATCATAATACCGAATTTCGTCAAAATCTATCCAGTGGTTTTCTCGTGATGGGTTCCCAGATAGACCCTACTCGCTAGTATAAATTAAAAACAATTCCCATCTCAATTCTTTTAGGCATAGTACGGGTCAAAGCTCAACTTGGACTCGGTTGATTATGAGGTCAAAGGCTGTGAAGATATGAATATTTACATTTGGTTTTTCACAGCCATTTGGAAGACGAGGGGTTTTTCCAATTATATAATTTGCTGTTGTTTAAAAGTGTTTATGAAACGAGTAATTTCAATCAAGAGCTCGACTTTGCAAAAATGATGATTATAGCTTTAGAAGTTTAGATAATTAAAGAAATCGGACAAGTGAGAGTTTGACTCGAAAACCGAGAGTTCCGTAGCATGAAACGATAAAATTTTACAATCGCAAATATATTTTTTGTGATGTATGTTATTAAAAAATAACAGTTATAGGCTTTTTTCTTTACTTGTGCTATAAGGCATTGTTTCTTGCCAAATTTCATGTTTCTAATGGCCGATTTCATCAACATCTCCTAAGTTTAAGGGATCCCCTAACCATGGTTAGGGGGCTGTTAGGGGACAGTTTCTGTTTCACCGACAGTTAGGGGGTCACCTAAATGTTAAAATGCCACCTAAATATAGGTACTAGGAATACGAGCTCTGACGATGGTAAAAGGAAATTTAATTTAGGGGTTAGTTTAGCGGAACTTTTAAGCTAGGGATCCCATACGTAGGTGGTAGCTTATGGGATGTTGGTGAAATCGGGCATAAGTAAACGGAAAGAATCCTATAGGGGTTGTTTCCCTTGGAAGTGTCAAAATATGCGACATAAACGGCCGAATCTACTAATTGCGTTGACTTAGAAGTTTGATTTTTTTTCACATTTTTGATACCTTTTGATACCTCCACATGTTCCTGAGAAAAAGGTTCTTGACAGACATACATAAATAAAATCTAATAGGTATTATGCAATAGAACACATATGTAGAACTTGCAGCAAGTATAAAAAAAATATGTCTTCGATTGCAATAATATGATGCCACGTCAACTAGTTTTCGTAATTATTGTTATAATTTGATATTTTCTTTTATAATTCGTATCTGTAGCCATTTTACTGAGAGTTTTGGTTTAAATTCGGTAAATAGGCGTCTAATTTGTTGAGTCTACAGAATATGACATAAGCGTGTGTCATCGCTGTAGGCATATCTTTAAAATTGAGATAGATTAATAAAAGTGACTTTTTTATCAACATATGTAATAGGAAATGCTGGGTTATATGTTTTTTCTAAGTTTGAAAACACAAAACAAAGAAAGATTGGCATCAGTTTATTTAATTACAAATTCGTTAAATCAATTGTAAATAATTTCTGTTGAGTTATTAATTACAAAATTAAACAAAAACAAATCTATCCCACGGGAACCGTATATTTTTCCGGGATAAAAAGTAGACTATTTGTTATTCTGATTTATGAACTGAACTATATTATTGTAAAGTTTCATTAAAATCCAATCAGTAGTTTTAGTGTACTAAGCTGTTTAAGTTACTTTAGTTTTTTAACTATCTCACGGGAACTCTTTAATTTTCCGGAATGAAAAGTATCTAATTTGTTGACCGGGGATATGTGGTACCACCATGCAAAATTTCATTTAAATCAGTCCAACAGTTTCGCAGATTAACCCGTACGAACAGACAGAGATTTATTTTATTTGGATTTATTCTATTTTTCTTCTTACATCCCCGTGATTCGGTTTTAGCATTTTTTTTATGTACAGACATTCGACCTCTACAGTTTTATTATATGTGTAGATTATACTAGTTATGTGTTAATATTAAAAAAAAACTTTCTCTTTATTGCGCAAAAGATTTTTAAATAACATTCATAAAACGATAGCTTTTATTTATTCTCGAAGCTTTTATTTCAGTAATATTATTAATAAATCATACCTTTTTTAATGTGTTTGCTTTTTAATTCATCTTACAATTGGATTTTTGCTATTGAAGCGCTGCTATATATAATATCTTCAGCGATAAAACCGCTTGAAAACCTAAAATATCGAGTCTAACAGTCTGCTTGCGCTTGATCTCTCCAGTAGTCTGGAAGGCGTTGCGCTGATTTGACAGGCGACATTTTCCCGCCAATTATTGACATTTGTAATTTTTTAATTAATATAATAAAATTATATTTATAAATATATTATATTTTTATTTTGATATTAATATCATTAATATCAAGTGTTAAAAATGTGTAGAAAATTATTATTAGTGTTCGCGATATTTATTTTAAGTGTTGGTATAAATGCGAAGGATTTTAAAAGAAATGCCAGTGCTGAAGTAAGATCTACAAGCAAAATGGTACGTCTGATTTATTATAAAACTTATTTTTTTTTATATATTCAAGTAAATTATTTTTAAATACTTTAAGCGAATGCTATTTGAATAAATTAATAAATAATTATATATTTTAATTTAAATTTTTTAATTATATGATAAAGATTTCCCATAAATTAAAGGGTTCATTAAATCGGTTTTAATTTTTTTAATTAAAATAAATATTATTTATTTATACATAACTATTATACATAAGAAATTTAAAAATATTTTTTTCCGTTAAAAAACTTACATAGTGAGTTAATTCAGTAATTGTGTTTTAAAAAAAACAATGTAGACGTTTCATGATGTTGTTGATATTATATTTAACGTAATGGAATTATAATATAGATCAAAACTAATAAATCAGTATAAACATTTTTTAAATCTATCAATAAATTACTGAGAAATTTATATTGGCTTACTATTACAAGGTTACAATTTTAGTACTTATTTAGTTATTAATGCTACAAGGTCCTATGTGTCATTAGCTACAGTTTTGCAAAAACAAACCACTAGATAGCGGCACTTTAATTACAAAATATTCAATTTTACATAGTTCTATGTGGTTTTTTTTACGATAACAAAATAACGAAGTTCTATGTAATGAGAACCTCCTCCTTTTTGAAGTCGGTTGAAAATTACTAAACTTCATTAAAATTAACATAGAACCTTGTAACAGTAAGCCAACGAATTATTTTAATAATTCTTTTATAATGAAGGGAAAACTTGTATAGGCATGTTTGTTTGTATGGGGAGTAAATTCATGTAAGTCGTCATCGACATGGTCACGTGACGTGTTAACGCTAACACTCAGAGTGCCGATAGGTGTCGAAACCAGATAAATGCACACAGTTTTAATTAACAATTAATTTGAATATCCAAAAATAACTGTTTGTTTATAGTTTTAAGTTTACACTTCTTTTTTTTATTATTTATTACAACATTAAAAAATTTAAACTTCTCCATTTCTGGCAACACTTTACGAACGAATTTGTAACTTTAATAGAGACATTTTAATATTTGACATTGATTGATATGATGTGTTTAAATTTAAATTTTGCGTGGACTTATAATAATCATTCACAAAGTTGTTATGACTTGTGACATACAAACGTATACATATATATATATATATATATATATATATATATATATATGTATATATATGTATATATATATATATATATATATATAAATTCGAGTGTATGTTTTTGTGTATATTCTGCTTTCATCATCCCACTGATGGGCGTGGGCTTTACTTTAGTACAAGGATCAGGCCATAGTCCACCATATTAACTAAGTGCGGGTTGACGGACTTCACATGTCTTATGAAAACTTGCCAGGTCCTCTCAGACATGCAGGTTTCCTCACGATGTTTTCCTTCATCGTAAGACAAGTGGTGATCATGTTGGAAATGATTGTTACGAAAATTTCAGAGGATGGGCCTGTGATTTGAACCCGCTTCACTCGGTGTCCCAAGCACGTTACCATTGGTTGCATGTTAGCGGAAACTTCGCCAATTGGGAATCGGTTTTCATGATTTTTTTTAAGAATAGTTTAAAAATTCCAAACCCTAAGAATGAAATATGCTACTAATATTATAAATGTGAAAGTTTGTAAGAATGTATGTATGTATGGTTGTATGTTTGTTACTCTTTCACGCAAAAACTACTGAATGGATTTTGATGAAACTTTATAATAATATAGCTCATACATCAGAATAATACATACACTACTTTCTATCCCGGAAAAATGTACGGTTCCCGTGGGATAGATTTGTTTTTGCTTTTCTATTCTATTAATAATTATTAATAGTTATTTTATAGTCAGTTCATCATTTTAATAACTATAACATAAAAAACCCGACTGCATAAAAGCTAACTAAAAAGATGCAAACAAGTTGACGAAGGAATACACGTTTCATCCTTGCCGCGAGATATACATTATTTTTATAATATATTTTTTTATTTACAGCTTTTTAGTTTTTGCCAATTAGACATTTGAAGTTAAATTTAGCATTTTATTTATCCTAAATTACTCTTAGACATATAAGTTGTTTACATTTATGTGATTGCCTTTTCGAAACCTTTATTTTGTTCTCCCACTCGATTGGTTTGAAAGTTTTTTTTTAATACGCCATCTTAATTTTCCACTTTTTTTATATAGCCCGCGTTCAGATGACCAAAATCCAATTTCTTAGGTTTTACATATTAGTATACTCATATATTGCAGTTTTTGTATTTTTTCTCAAAATGAGATATTTTCCCGCGGTAAAAAGTATCCTATATGTTGACCCGGATAACCAGCTACCATCATACCAAATTCCATCAAAATCCCTCCAGTGGTTTTTCTGTGATGCGGTAACAAACAGACAGACAGACAGACAAAAATTCTAAAAACTATAGATTCTGACTCTGTATCGATAATAATGTATTTCAATTAGATTTTCCAAAAAATATTTAATGTACAGATTCGACTTAGTTACAATTTTATTATATGTATAAATAACATTCCCGCTATCAAGACGAATCTAACGACGTATGAATCATCAAAATCCGCCCACGCGTTTGGTCTCTAGGATGCCGTATAGGAACAAACATACATACATACACACACCCTCCTTTGCGTTGTGCAGTCGGGTAAAAAGTACTTAATATGTTCAATATGAATTGTTTAGAGATCGGAGAGCGATATAAGATACTATTTATATGAAAATATTTCCGTAACATTTTAGTATCTGTATATAAATAGGCAAAGACAAAACAACTTCGTTTTTAGGGTTCCGTACCCAAAGGGTAAAACGGGACCCTATTACTAAGACTCCGCTGTCCATCCGTCTGTCTCTGTCTGTCCGTCCGTCACCAGGCTGTATCTCAAGAACCGTGATAGTTAGACAGTTGACATTTTCACAGATGATGTATTTCTGTTGCCGCTATAACAACAAATACTAAAAAACAGAATAAAATAAATATTTAAGGAGGCTCCCATACAACAAACGTGATTTTTTTGCTTGTTTTTGCTCGATATTGATAACGGCAACAGGTAGACGCTTGTTGAAATATTCACAGAATATTTAGTTATATATTCACTTTAAAAATAAGTAATTAAATAAAAATAAAACAAATATTTAAGGGGGGCTCCCATACAACAGACATAATTTTTTTGCCGTTTTTATAGATAATGGCACGGAACCCTTCATGCGCGAATCCGACTCGCACTTGTTTATTTTTCCCTGTCAATCGCTTTTTTTTGCTTAGTACCTATTAACGAGCTCTAGCTTTAGTTGTTATCAATAAAAACATAAATAATAATTATGATTGGGCGATTATTGTTTAAATACATAAGTATATGTACAAATAATAAACAGTAGATATCAAAATGGCGTCAAAAATTACACACAGACAAATATACAACAGTTTATTAGTTACAACGTCATTATTAACGAAAGGAAGCTATAATTTTTTCCATGAAACAGAACATCTGGTGAGTGTTTCAGTTGTAAAATAGTTATTTTACTGATCTGTCAACGTGTCTGGAGTTCAACGAGTAAACAAATTCGTCATTGGTATACAAAAACTTAAAGATACACAATTCTCAATATCAAAAGTGTCCTCAGAAAGGTTAAACTAAACACAGCCCTGGATTTACACTAGGGGCACCCGGGGCTAGTGCCCAGGGCGGCAAATTTTTAGGTGCGGCAAAATTCGGAGGGTGGGGGAAAAAATATCTTCGCGTTATCAAAAATGCTTTTCTTATTTAAAAAAAATGATGAGTAATAAAAGAAAAAATTGTAGGTACATTTTTCGACAAATTGATATCGTTTATAAATTATTTCATTGCAATTTTCGAAAATTTAATAATAAAAAAAATTAAACTTTCAACATTATATGCAAAATTTCGATAATAGGGCGGCATTTTTTACTATGCCCAAGGGCGGCGCTAAGGTTAAATCCGGCCCTGACTAAACGCTACAAACTATGTATATATGTATGTAGGTGTTAAGTTTAATGTTAATCTTAAACAAACATTTGCCGCAAGCGAGTATCGAACTCACGACTTCCGGACCTACCTACAATGCATGTCAATCTACGAAGGTCATCTAAAATAATAATCAGATGCGGCTTTAAATTATTTTATGTGCAATTTTTATGTCTGCCAAAATATAAGAAATCTCATAAACATGTAGAAACTATAACGAATGTAATTTGCCAACGTGACAAATAAATCTTTTATATTTTTTTTATTTAACACAAAAAAACACAGGAATAGTGTAGCTTTCTATTAGAAGAAACGTTTCGAATCTATTCGGGAGTTCAATAGATTATTTCTTACAAACAAACAAACTCTCTACTCTCTCTCTCTCTCCTTTATATAATATAAAAGGAAAGATTTCTATTTTTGTATGTTTGTAACGAATAAACTCAAAAACTACTGGACTGAACTGAAATTTGGCAAGAAGATATTTTGAGACCCTGGGAAGGACATAGGATACTTTTTATCCCGGGAGTCATCCCTTAATGGGGTGAAAATGAGGATGAAAGTTTGTATGGGGAATCAATCTATGTCTATCCCGCTAATCTCTTTATAAAACTGTAATGTAAAAATTGAAGTAATTATAGCACATTTTTTTTTATTAGACAGAATAGTTGAAGACCGAGAATTTTATGTTCATAAAAAAAAACAAATAATTAAAAAGGAAAAAATTATTAAAATTAATATTAAATGCGAATTCTTATTTAACCATTCGTATAAAACAATAATTAATAATTTATATAAAACTATTCATTTTAAAAAAAAAACCAATATGGCAACACTAATGTTTTTTGCAGCTATTATGACAAAAATACTTATAAAATACGACCGCCGCGTGCGTTGGTGCCAGAGTTCTTCACGAAAATATACATTCAAAATCCAAGGCATTGATATAGAAAATTGACTAAATAGTTTTTAAATTAATAATTATGAGTTTCCAAACAATGCGA